ATTACTAAAAGCCAACAATGCTTTCGTTTTACTATCGCATCACTTTATATGGAGGCCATTGACTACTACTAGTACTACACAATTTCCACTTGATGACCAATAAATATATTTTTATGCTCCAAAATTCCCTTAGAGACGTCGCTTTTTATGGTCAAGTATTAACCTCGAGATAAACGAAAGCTCGCAAAACGGTTTTCCAACCGTCCACCCTATATAAAAACCACAAAGTTATGGTCTCTATATTTATTTAACGTTCGCACATGCATTATTTTAATTCTACACTTAAACTGCAAATTACTTCACGTTGCATAATAAATCAGGTGCAACGTTTACTAATATTCGTTAAGTTAGGAAGCGTAGGAAGCGTAAGTAATTGGTTTTCTTGAGACGCAAAATTTCCTTGTTGCGTAACCTTTGTTATTTCTGAATTTAGCAAGATTGGGTAACACTTCGTTCTTGGGAACGCATTCAGTAGAAGTGTATTATTGCGAAAAACGAAGATTTACTTTCGATGGAATCCGTGGATGCAACAAATGTAACAGCAACTTTAATAACGGGTGATATATGAGGTATAAAATGCGCGAAAAACAGTTCGCATTATAACGCAACCAATGAAAGATGCATCGTGCAACCTACATAAGTGCGAGACAAGATAATAATACGCTTAGAAATATGGATGCAATGAAATTCTCAATATATTATAAACGCGCACATTTATCGAAGATTAATACCTTAAGTATGCAATTTTCTTCATAGATTCACTTACGACGCATAAATTTCAATAACGTCCGTTTAAATCAGTTATCGGTGTGTAAATTGTATACAATTTTGTTTTATGACCACTTCACTATCAAGATTTTACAGTATTAATTTTTTGCATAATAATAACGGTGGCATTTTCAATGCATTCATCTGTAAATTAAATTATTTTAACATATAAATAAATCACAATTTTACAATATCTAAATACAGCAATACAATAATCGATTTCGCCAATATCCCGGACTGTTTGAAACCGCAATAATTGAGGAATAAAATACATAGAAAAATAAATCGCATAAAATTGAATAAAAGAACCATTATTAAGATTTTATCCATCAACAAAATAGTACCTAAAGAAGGTGGGAGTTTCCGATTCTTGGTTAAGAGTTTGCCGATATGATTCGCAGCTTCAACTAAACTTTTATTACTCTCTTAACTTATTTGAAAAAATCACTCGTTTTGTGGCCCAATAAGAATTGTTTAAACGTTCAAAGCAATTTGATTCGTCGTGATGCAGACACAATGCGTTTTCGACCATTTAAAGCAATTTTTCAATAATTTTAATAGAAATGTTTTAAAACTTTTATTTACATTAAATTTTGTCAAATATTAGAAACAACAAATCGTCAAAAAATTTATAAAAATTGTTTTCTTGTCAAAATTATTAATTATAATTTTAATAATATTATTAGTATTTTTAAATTATTTACCAAATTATATTTCATTTATTTGTATCAAACTAATTACATCAATCAATTAATAAGAACATCCATTTTTTTTTAGTTTATTTCAATACTTAGTACTAATCGCGTTTTTACACTATATGCTTCCCCTTTATTTTAATTTAGAGTAATAAAAAGTTTTTAAATAAATGTAAACTATCATGTCTAAAAGTGCACAAAACTTATCAAAATAGTTGTGCATGTTTTTTGGCAACATTTACGTTATTATGAGCGGAAAGTTTAGCAGCTGCACAACAAATATCATTTTCAGGTGTTTTCAGATTTTATCTCTGTCCTAATTTAATTTAACCCCCAGCAGCATTGTGATGCAATAACAACAATTTATAAACCTTCATATCTTATGTAAGACACGTGTTTAATTTTTAATACCAGTCTTAGTATTTTCATAGATAATTTACAAATTATGTCACAATAAAAGTTTTGCTTAATGGTTTTCTATATTGAACATTTTTCTTCTTATTTCGGAAAAATTCATTGTTGGAAATATTTACTATAAATTAATAAAAATATTATAAATTTTTATATAACATAAATTTCTTTATAAATCCTTCTTTATAAACAACATTTAAACCTCCTGACAACATCAAAGTACTACAATACCTCGGTTAGTGCGGATAAGTTGTTCCACCACTGTTTGAAATCGGAATAAATATTTCATGTACAATTTTTAAAAATTTATTTATTCTTTACTCAACTACAATTTACTCTGTTTTAAAATGTTGAAAGCGGACTATAGTGAATCCGCACTGATTGAAGCCGTACTATATAAGACATTGCTGTATTTAGTGCGTCTTATATCGAAGATATAAAAAATACGCTGTATGTAATCAAGAATGTCGACCTCTTGACTCACACAACGAATCGTTTACGATGTCGCACGGTCGCTAATTTTGGCCAATCAGAGCGCTCGTAAAATACTGCGAGCCAATCGGTTCCGCTTATTTATGACTGTTCCAAGCTCGATTGCATTTGTTTACAATGCATGCCATTCCGAGTTTTAGTTATGCCACTCGAAGCCAATTGCACTCTTTTTCACATGATTTCTATATATAAACCGAATATTCGTCTGCTGTTTCAAAAAAAAAAAACTTTACTATTATTGAACTTTTAAAAAAAATCCTTATACCTTATTTTTCAAATCGTAAGATACATATCTTTTGTGTACCAAAATCAACTTTAAATCGTGTCTTAAGAAATAATTAATTATTATAAAATTATTTAATTAATACATTCAGACTTGTTTCATAAATTTCTTTTTTGTTTGAAATAAAAAATCGCACAAAAATCAATTTTAAATCAACGTGTAATTATGATTAAGTATTAGAATGTAACGTTTCTCAACCTTTTACTCTTTGCATTTTTTGTATAATTCTGCTACAAATCACCCGAAAAACAACAAGAATTTTGACGATTTGGTCTAACAACAAATTTTTCTATTTTTTTTAAATTTATTTATATATAAACAACATCGATTCAGCAAATAATCTAACAAATTGAGAAATGTTGTAGAATTCTTATAATTTCCGCAATTTATTATTTAATGAGTTCAGAAAATAAATCATAATATCAAATTCAATTCTAAATCAATGTGACTTAATAAATAATTGTTTAGTAAATTATTTTCTTAAAAAAAATTTGAATTTGCTTTTGAAAAAAAAACTGTTTAAATTCATAAATCTCGAAGATTTGACGCAACGACAAAATTTTCTTTTCTATTGCGTATTTAAGTATAAACAAAATCGATTTAGCAAATTTAGTGATGTTGTCTCACAATTTATTATATTATTAGTTCAGAAATTAAATCTTAGTAATGGAAATTCTCTTAGATTCTCAAGATATATGCTTTTTTTTATAACCGATTTTGTTATTGAGTGTAACTTTTTGTTTCGTTTTGCTTTTTTTATTCGTTGAAATTTATTTAATAGTCGCGATGATGAGTGTAATGTTACACGTAAACACGCTATATATTAAGAATATAAAACACATATATAATGTAATCTAAGTTTTTGGCAGATCCAGGCATTGTTGATTCATAGTGCGAGACGGTATTTACTACAAATATAACTTATGGTCGCACTCTCCATATTCCGCAGCACAACGAACAACAAATGCAACGTTACGCGACTTCCGGGTAATAAATTAATCCAACCAACAACAACAAAAAAAACTTAATTTCAATCTCTTTAAGCTCGAGAAAGAAAACTGAAACTGAAACGAAAAAAAAAGTGCAGCTTTTGCTACAATTTGAACATGTAAAAGTGAAATATAACGGACAGCAGAGCGTGCACACCTCTTGCACAATATTTATTTAAACACACGTATTTACATTTTTCTTTCTATATTTCTTATTTTTTCTTTCTCTGTCCATATATATTTTTTTCTTTTTCTTCTGTCGCGTATCATTTTAACTTGTCATTGGCAATAATCCCAGGATGACATCATATGGAAAATGTGACGTCGTTCGGTTTGGAAAGGAGACAATACAATTTCGCATCGGACGTTAAGTAAGTTTTTGTATGTGTCTGCGTATATGTGATATACGGGTATCAATGACCCAAATTGTATCGGCGATAATTTTATACCAATGTCAGGCTATATAAAAAGATGACAACGGTGGAAATAAGAATGAACCCAAATAGAAAACGTGATATGCTACAATACACTTTTTGGCAGCGACGCGTTCGGTCTTCTTGCTTGCTTTTCTGTTTCCTTCACGTACACCAAAAAAATTTATTCACACCCAAATTAACGTTTTGCATTACTTTACATCGCATGTGTTTCCAACAGAAAAAAAAACAAGAAGTGCTTAAAAGATTTACATCCATAAACCTCCAAGAAACTCTTTAAATCTGAAGATTTATTACTTTGGTAAAATAAACAATAATTGAAAAAAAAAAACATTTTTAAGTATTACTTTCATACTAATAATAACTAATATTAAACTGTTTCTTTATAGTCAATAATATAAAATAATACAAAATTTAATATTTTTTTAAACTACAAAAAATAAAGGTGTAGAGAACATTCTACTCTCATAAGTAATTATAAGTACCAACCAAAATTAAATTTAAAATACTTTAAATAATGATGAAATAATTGATTGATGTGAGATTTGCGAAATAAATGTTTGAATAAATAATTTTATTAAAAAAATTTATAATTATTTAATATTTCAATCCATTCATATTTTGTTTCATTGTTACTCAAAGATAACACAACAATTATTTCCAAGGACAAAATCATGTAGTAGATTTTTTTATTCGTTTTTAATGTATGAAAATAATAAATTTTCTTAGTTTTTTCTTTCCGGTTTATAAAGATTTTTTTATAATATGTCAGATTTAATAAAAATATTATATTTTATATTATTTTATTATAAAATATCCTTGTTGAAGTATTTAATAGTAAGAAATACCCGGCGCATCCACCAATTCAATACACTTGAAAAATGTATATTCACTTGAGAATTATGTGTAGCCAATTAAGAATACGTACTTTTTTGCTGGATTTGAAGACGGCGCACTTGAAGACGTTTGAGGATCCATCTCTAGCGATATAACTGAAAATCTTCAGGTCCTGAGAGTCGTGGGAGACGTAGAAAATTCTGTAAATCGGATGCGAAAGCAGAAGAGGCTTTCCTTCATCCAACCAATGTTTTCGCTGAAACAATTAAAAAAATAATATAAATTTGCATTTTTCAAAAAGTTAGCAGCTATTTTTATTTATTTATTTATGAGAATAACGAGAAAAGTAAATTATTGTTATATGTTTACTCATTATAAATGTAAAATAATCAAACTAAACTAGTTTAAAGCTAAAAATAAATTAGGTTACACAAGTTTAAAACGTGTAGGAAACTTTGTTTGTGGTAATTAATTATAAAATTTGTTCATCCGATCTTGAGAAAGAAACAAAATTAAAAAAAAAATGTAAATACACTAATGTAGGTCTCTTCCGAGTTATGCAAGGTCCGTTTGGATTTGACACATATAATGCTCGGAGTAGCTCGTCAATCTATTTTTCTTCTCTTCGGACAGGCACAGTTTTGAAACAGACATTATTTAGCTTCAAAGTCGAATCCGAACCGCTTTGAAAGATTAGCCTGGCTTTATTGGAATTGACTCATCTTTACACAAAAAAAACTTATTTCTGACGTTTCGAGCTAAGCTTGTACAACGGTTTTTAATAATATCTGTAAATAAACAAGAATCAGGTGATGTTTTCGTATTTACAGATTTACGTTTCGTTGGAAACTAAAGCACTTATAAAAATTTAGTACAATTGAAAATTATCAATTTTAATTTAGTATAAGTATGATTTTTTGTTAATCTAATAGAAAATGAACGCAATTATGAAAATTTTTCTTATTTCTTATACACAAAGTTTTTCCAAAACTTTTATTACAATTTGTTTCCATATTTCTATAGATTCTTATTTCAAGCTAATAGAAATAAAGCATGAAATATATGTGTAAAACAAACTTTAACACTTCAACGTCCGAAAGTTTTCAAAAGTTATTATCACTTCGCAGCGAAAAACTGGAAATGTACTCTTCAAATAAATAAACTCGACAAAAACAACAACTATCCCATCCAGCAAGACAACTTACCTTCTTCTTTTTTCTGAGAGTAACTTTTACTCCGTCCACGGAAACTTCTATTGTCACCTTTTTCTTCTTGATGCCTTTCGCCTTGAACTCGTACTATAAATAAAACAAAGAAAGATACAATCATTAAATAAAATAAATAATATATATCGAATATTGTCGCACAGAAATACGGTTTATTAGGTTTGCCTCGCACAATTATAGGAGAGACATGGCCACAACTATAAACCAGTAATTTACGAGCAAAACCACTTTGCATTTAAATATTGCGTAAAAGTTTGATTTACGGTTTTTCATTAGTCGCTCCAAATTAACTTCAATGCAATTGCATTGGGTTTTATATTAAGTTTTATATATATTGCGCAATGCAAGTAACTTGTCAAGTATCGAGTAGTCCATACAGAATGTATGTAAATCTTAGTAAATTAGTATTTATATAAATTACATTAGTTGTTATTAAGGTAGTTACACACTACTCTACATAAGCAACTGCTGCATAAGGGCCAAATATTTGATGACAATTATATGTAGTTGTCTCCTATAATTATTTAAGGTAAGTACACACAACACGACATAAACAACTTATACATCAATATTTGTACAGGTTACAAATATTGATGACATTTATCTGTACTTGTCTACTATAATTATTTATATAAATGGCATTAATTGTTATTAAGGAAGGTACACACTGTTCGACATAAGATACTTATTTTAGGAGGTATAGAAAGGACAAATACATGAAGTCAATTATATGTACTTGTCTCCTATAATTATTTGTTATAAAAGTCATTAGTTGTTATTAAGGTAGGTGCACATTATTTAACATGTTACTTGACACGTTGAATAACTACTTACTCGTATCCGTCGCATGGCAGCCACGATTTCAACCCTGCTGGTCGGACGGGGAACATCGAGACATCCAATATACTGAAATAATAAAAAAAAAACATATTAGTTTCATTTTATGCAACTTTTTTAATATAGTTTATTTATTAGATAATCTAAGCCCACAAATATCCACAAATATCCTTTATGCAATGTGCATATGGGATCGAAACTTTCATACATTACATCCACATATTTGGAGCAGCTTTCTTATAAGCTCCAGGCAACAGGTGCAACGAACACTTTGAACATCTTTTTTTATTCAGGAAATTGCCAGAAGACTGTCATTATTGGATTTTAGCAGTGGACCAGCTGAGGCCTCTATTTAACTTAGGTCGTGGGAACGGAACCGTATTAAGGTATGCCATTATAATGTAAAAGACAGCCAAAGGTGCATTCTTTCGAATTGAATAATTTATGAAGTCGCTCATAAATTTTAAACCAGCTGGAATCCTGCAGCATCTTTATTACATTCTCTGTACGAGATTCAATTTCGCATGATTATAAAGGTGAGTAAACAGTGCATTGTTTTTAAACATATATTTAAAGGTATACAAATATATGTGAACGATGCAATTGCTAGCGCATATGTTAAACATTTATGCACTGCTGTTAAGTTCTTGCAGATGTGGTTGCATTTCCTAGTGGTGAACTGTAGCTAACGGCCCGCAGATGGCGGCTGTATACAACAAGTGGAAGGTCAATGCACGACGCCATCATCCATATATACGCACACACACACTTAAATATATATGTATGTGTTGTGTGCGTGTATGTATATGCATGGAGCTGCTACAACCGCGACGCCGTTTATTTCTAGACGACGTCGCGACGCTCGATGACGTCACGACCGTCCCGACACAGGTGATACTGTTGTGTACTTGTGTTTACGCTATTACTAGATGAGCCAAGACGCAAACACAAGAATAAACTCGTATATAACGATGATCATCCTCTCTCTCTTTCTCTCTTTAACTCTCAACAAGACGTGTTTATAATTAAAATCACACGCGATTCCCGACGGAGTCAAAGGATTCTTACGAATTTCCCCTCTACCTTCTCACTGCACTATGTTTCATCTTCGCACGAAGATTCATCCAAATGGAACGTATAATAACATCTTCCTTTGAACCTAACCAGAAGATTTATTTGCCATTATTTCATGTTCCTCAGGATTCGCTCCAGTTTATTGCATTTTTCACCCAATTACCAAAACTAAAAATATACCCAAATATTTGATCTTTTTTTAAACCAAGCAGAGTTAAAATAACTCCTTTCAAAGAATTGAGTTAAAAAAATAAAATTTAAAAAATCCCAACATTTGCAAAGATACAAATAATATTATTGACTTTACTAATTGAAAATTCCTGTTTTTACTAGGAAATTTTATTTGCTATTATTTCATGATACTCAAGATTTGTTCCACTTTATTGTACTTGTCATACAAAATTCCTAAAACATATACATTTTGTCCTAATCATTATTAAAAAAAAACAATTGATCTTACTTAAAATTTGTTTGCTATTAATTAATGATCCTCAAGATTTGCACCACTAATGAACTTTTCAATTATTGATAACATTTTTCAAAGGTAATAACTAATTTACTTAACAGCATTATAGATTTGAAAATACTGTGGGTTATGAGCGATGGAGTGAAAGTGTGTAATTCCAGACAACATCTATACATATCCAGGAAATAGAAATGTTAGTAAAAACATAAATAAAATATTTATAAACTTCTAGAATTAAAGTCAACCACGTAATTACAATTAAAACTTCATGACAGCTGTCATCAAATTTTGCAAAATGACAGCTGTCACCTTGTGTCAAAGTGAGAAACTGTTGAAATACTTTTAGGAATTGGGTTGAAGTACAACTACAAACAAATGTTGAAACGTTGAGAAACGCTGGTATAATATAATATTCAATATTACTCTCGAACAAAATACCAATTTTATTGAAGCTGTCCAAACTATTTTGATCGAAGAGCCGAACACTTCAACGTTAAGTTTTTATCGCGTATACCTACCAATATTAACGAAAGTTTTACTGAAGATTCGATACATAATAAAAGTTTGCAGTCGTATAAAAGTTTTATATGTATATATATATTTCGTATTTCGAAAGTAATATGTGTAATTGAGTGGAATAAACAATGAATACAAGTGTTGGAAACTGTTTTAGTTAGAGCTGTTTAAGAACATTTATTCGAATGAAAAAGTAACCTTCTACAATTGAAGACATATTAGATGTAAACACTGCAAATGTAATACATTCTCGTGTATAAATTCTAAAATTTATCACGCAAATTTTCTAATAAATGATTAAAATATTTGATCAAAAAATATTACTTTTTTAATAATTCTATACGAGTATATCTCGAGTATAATTGAGATTTTATGGTAAATATTGAGCTGTCTTTTTGTACTGTTTCCTATATTCATTATTATGAAAACTTATATATAAATCCTCTAACTTATTAAGAAATATCCTAAAATATAACAGATTTGAACTAGTAAAGTAGTGGGTAATATACAAAATTAATTAATAATTATCATTGAATCATCTAAAATGGTTATAATTGGATACACAACCTATTGTCATCATGCGGTATAATGGTAAATAAATAGAAAACCATAAATCCTAGCTATACAAGGTAATTATTACTTTGCACGATCCCAAAATGAAAGCCAGTGCAATAATCAATGCTATCACAATTCCGAGCTGAACACAAGGGAGATATTAATAATTAAAACGAACGTATCATCAACCTCATCCTCTCTCTAGCTGTTTCAGCCGAGTGAACAAGAAGCCACACATGTTTACAGGAAATAAATTTCCCAGCAGAATAAACTTCCAAGGAGAAGTACCAGCAGCACCTTCATCCGAATATTAATTATTACCTTAATAACTAGAACCTCCCATCCGACGATTTAAGAGATGCCACGTTCGGAGCAAATTACACAGAGATAACATTAATTAAAATAACTCGCGCATAAAAAGTAATAACTCCGCTGGAAATGTAAGGCTCAGGCTTTTATCAGCGCTTTTTAAAGCTCCCCCTCAAGATTACCGCATTATATAATACACGACTCAGGTTAATATTAAAATTAATATTACGCAAATGCTGTTGGAAGAGGAAAAAAAAAATGAAGTCAAAATCGTTCATCCAAATGAACATTACGTTTTTTTTTTATTCTCGTGTGTATTATTTGAATTGCGTTTCTTTGATGTGGTTCTGCCTGCGAGGCGCTATTTCGTAAGCGAGTGGCCGCGTTTCCATTAATTCAGAGCCATCAAAACAAATAAAATGAAATTGTAGAAAATAATATAAGCAAACAAATAAAATAATTTAAAAAGGCACATTAAATGCGTTTTCGTAGCGGATGCACGTAAATATATCAAGCGTTAAATTGGATCACGTACAGCTGGATTTTCGATATAAACGTATTTTATAAGTGTTTTCCTGTTCACCTGTTTCCTTTGTTCGTCCAGTAAAATATTAATATCTTAAGCAAAATTATAGTCGAAATTATTTTTTACAAAGTGTCATAAAAGAAGCTTTACTGTTTTGTTTTGTCAACATTTCTATTTTGTTGAGGTTATGTCAGATATAATTTGACAGTTGTGTAACATGAACCATCTAATTTAATCCTTATAAGGTGTTATTTTGAGTACTGTTTGTACAAATGTATAAAAATACATTATTGTTATACATTGCATTTTTATACATTTGTGCAAACAGTAAAATAAAATAAGTCCACAAACTTTGTTAAATTTAAATTCATTGGTAATTAATAAATTTAATTTTTTGAATAAAAATATAGAAATAAAAAATTAAATAATGTAAGAGATAGAAGAAAATGATCATAATCGAAAAAAATATTGTAGTAAAAGCTGTTCTGCCGCATGGACATTGTGAGTAATATGAGACCTTAATATATCTCAGGAGTACCAACTAACTAACCATGGATTACGATGAGACTGAAATTGATATGGTGGCTGGAATTGCACACTGTCTAGAAAGTTATACTTAATCGTTGGTACTCCTGATATAAAGTTGGGTATCAAATTGTGCACCATTACACATGAATATATAAGAAGAAGAAAAAATGCACATACATTTTGACGTTTCTTTTATGATAGTAATTAGATTTAATTAACTTTGAGTATTATGAAATAAATAACTAGAATTAACTGTAACAATCTATTTCTTTGTAACATGGAGAGTTGGCGTGATAACGTCGGCATTAAATATGATCAAGATTCTTCTGTAAAGGGATTCAATAATATTCAATTATGTCCATAGAAAGCGAACTTTCGCTTAAATGGAGAATATAATTTATCTTTACGAAGTAATCATATTCAATTTTTAAATATCTGTAAAATATTTTTAGTTGTAATTATGTAATATTACTACATTTCAATTAACTAGTATATAGTAACAATATATAGTGTGGTTCTAGTGTGATTTTGAGTTATAGGCATACTAATTTATACTTATACGTGGTAGATTAATGGCAACTTTAAAAAATTTAGGTACGATAGGTTTCCATAAGAGTAGTTAATATGCCTGAGTCCAACTTATATGAAATTGGAGTAATAAATATCTAATCAACCACTAAGTATACATTGAAGAACAGTGGAATTATAGCTTACTCTATGTAGTATTGAGTTACAAAATTGTGGTTTGTATTTATAACTTCTGACCCCTAGTATATCTTACTTGAGAACAAAATATGTATTATTGAATTTCAATAATTTTGTGTGGGCCCCAAAAATTCTTGTGGGCCCTATGTATTGTACCTAATAGATAAGATGGTTATGTGTTATACCACTTATATTATGCATTGTACAGATACTGGAACGAATACATAAATTAAGTTCTATAGCTTAATAATATCATTGATATTTCAATACTTAAAATTTAAGTTGCAATTAAAAAGTGTCTTCCAATTAATTAAAATTAAAACCGAAAAAGTTTCCATCAATATATTTACAATACATTGAAGCACAACGCAACAGAACGCAAAAGCAATT